GCATGCATACTATTTATTGTCAAACTTTTGCTCTTGACGTCTGTTGTCAAATTGAGAATAGATATTAAATATTGTTTGTCTTTGTTAATATTTTTTATAGTGTAGTCTTGGTGAAATTTGTGATTATAGAAGTATAAAATACAATCATAATAGTGTACAAACTTACAATTCCAATTAATTATAGTCGAATTTCGACTACTACGGGACCTCTAGTAAAAAATAATTTTTGCATCCAGTACCGAAGACACGCCGACAGCTCCCGAATAAAACCGAGCGCGTGTGACGTCATAATGTTAGTTTTCCTTCATTGCAGTTCATACAGAAATAATAAGTACAGCGTTTTGATCTGTTTAACTTTGTTGTCATCGTTAAATATTCAAATATTTATATTGAAAATGTCGTACCTCAAAAGTTATTATTCATGTTTTGCACCACTATGCATGAATACTACCAAAACAGCTCCTGAAAAAATGTTTTTAAATATTCCCCAAGATGGCAAACGTCGAAATAAATGGTTTCAAGCAGTAGTGCACCGAGATAATCCCATAACAAAATCGATTTTTTTTTGTTGTTGTGAAGATCATTTCTACGTAAGTATTTCTTAACGCCATTGTTATTAATTATTATTTATCTAAGTACATATACAAATCAAATAATTATTATATGCTCAAGCAGAGTTCAGTGAATATTTTTTTTTAACTGGACTCTAAATCATAACCTATAAGACTATATCATTAAAAAAAAATTATTGATAATTTAAAGTGCTTAAATAATAAATTCATGTATCTTTATCTAATGATTGGGATTCAGTTTGATATATTTTTATTATACGTTAACGTATATTATTGTCTAGTCACGTGTAATAGTCGTAAGCGCTATACTATTATTGAATAGCTATAACATTATGACGTCACAACTATGATGACCAATCATGGCGCCTTTATAAGTCACGTGTTTTTTTTTTAAATTCTATCAATTTTTAATTCTTTATAATTAAATGTATTATTTTTTTGTTTTTTGCATTAAATATCTATATTGTTAATAATAAAGTTTTAAAATATATAAAAAAATCTATGTTTTTTTCAAAATCCCAATTGATGCAGCTCCTTTATTTACCTACCCATTCCAAAATATACATAATTATTATCAAGTGCACAAGGCCTCTCACCGTTTAGGCTACGACGACTTCCAATCCAATTCCAATCGAATCCAATTTAATTCAACATAAAAAATACCGAATTCGAAAGCTGCAGTTTTGGCGTCCGGCCTCCTAAGACCGCGACCGAATGAAACCTTTTTTCTTTCTTTTCCTACCTATGCTGATATATTCTTCAAAAAGAGAGACTATTTCAGCCTCACCCTAACGTGTAGGTGAGCTCACGGGGCTCAAACCGGAAGTGTTGCTAACACTGACCCTAGCAAGAGCAGTACTTCGCAGAATCTACCACCGGATCGGAAACGCGACCCACTGAGAAGATCCGGCGAGAAACTCAGTGGGCTTGAATGAAACCAACAGACGTGCCGTGAAGTGAAAAAAAGTAATGAAGGATTGACCGGAGAATGAATATAAAAAAAAATTTTTGGTCAGAAAATTCGGCGACGACACAAGCGACCGTCATTTTAGATTTCAATCGAATCGACAGCTGATTCAATATTTGGTTTAATATGGGCGAACGCTTACGGACGTGTTCATTTAAGCATGAAATGTTATCATCTTCACATATAATAATACATAGTCAGTCAGGGAAACGATTTTTCATATTACCTATATATTAATTTTAATTGACGTTCAAGGGACACAACTTTGTATTATTATATTAATTTAATATCTTATTTATTAATACAATTTATGAAAAAACACTGTATAAAAATAAATTGCCGCTGATGACGGTGTCTACGACACAAGCCACCAGTGGTTAGGACTCCAGAGTGAGGAACCTCCTCACAATACGCGCAGTATCAAGGATAGCTGCCTTCTGTATCAAGCCCCTAACCAAGCCGGATAATGAAAGTTTTTTTTATTTTTTATTGCTTAGATGGACGAGCTAACAGCCCACCTGGTGTTAACTGGTTACTGAAGCCCATAGACATCTACAACGTAAATATGTCACCCACCTTGAGACATAAGTTCTAAGGTCTCAGTATACTTATAAAGGCTGCCCCGCCCTTCAAACCAAAACGCATTACTGCTTCACGGCCGAAATAGGCGGGGCGGTGGTACCTACCCGTTCATTATAGTCGATAAGGAACTAACTCCACTATCCTTAGCTAACGGTATTTGGAAGAGGCCGAAGGCGGAGAGTATTTCGAATCACATAGCCGTATAGAGGAGTAAGGGGTTACACGGGAGGTTCTACCGGGCTCACACAGGGCCTGATGTAGACCAATTAGCTTCCGTGGCCTGGTTCCGATTCTGTAACCTCTTTGGAGGAAACTGAAGGTTTTATTTTTGCAATTATGGTCGAAGTTATCATGACGAACAGCTACCAGAAATATATACTAAAGGATGACACGGTCGACATTTGTCGGGTATGCCACCCGCTGGTACCCTACCAGATGAAGGTAGATGATGCAATATGTATGCCGTTAACAAGCGCCTGACTTTTCTGTCCAGTGCGTCCAGCTCTGATTGCGTCCACCTTAATTATTATTAATATTAAATATATGTATTTCAGAAAAAATGTTAATCCATATTAATGTTAGTAACAGTGATAAGTAGATAAGTAGTTCTTAAAATATGGTTAGTAGGGAAATAGTAACAAAACAAAAAAACAACATACATACAATTACATTAGTTTACCATTACGGACACGTTTATTTATTTATTGCATTTATAGGTGGACGAGCTCACAGCCCACCTGGTGTTAATTGGTTACTGCTTCAAGGCAGTGGACCTCTCTACAATTATTGAGAAAAGGTCCATCTAATCTCGAGAATACAATGGCCATGCTGTTGGACCTACCCTCAACCCAGTAGAGCAAGGACGCGCATCGCTTTCTTATTATGATATAGAAATCGTCGATACGTGCTTCCGCAAATATGCCCGATGCGAGGATCGAGGCAGCCCCATCAGTATTTTATTTTTTATTTTTTATTGCTTAGATGTGTGGACGATCTCCCAGCCCACCTGGTGTTAAGTGGTTACTGGAGCCCATAGACATCTACAACGTAAATGCGCCACACACCTCGAGATATAGTTCTAAGGTCTCAGTATAGTCACAACGGCTGCCCCACCCTTCAAACCGAAACGCATTACTGCTTCACGGCAGATATAGGCGGGGCGGTGGTACCTACCCGTGCGGACTCACAAGAGGTCCTACCACCAGTAATTACGCAAATTATAATTATGCGGGTTTGATTTTTATTGCACGATGTTATTCCTTCACCGTGGAAGTCAATCGTGAACATTTGTTGAGTACGTATTTCATTAGAAAAATTGGTACCCGCCAGCGAGATTCGAACACCGGTGCATCGCTCGATACGAATGCACCGGACGTCTTATCCTTTAGGCCACGACGACTTCAACATCGTCGTAATCGTAAAGGCATCCTTATACTGTACACGCAGGACGTTATTGCGAGTAATTAGCCCACAGACTGCACGTGTAGAAAGATGCACAATGCTCCGAAGGGCGTAATCTTTGTTTCTCTAGAGCTACGTGCAAACCTGCAGGCAATCATGTTAGCACGCACTGCCAACGCCCTCCTGCGTTCACGTTCTATGTCAGCATCGTCCCTGAGGTTAGAGGTTAACAAGTGACCCAAATATTTGAATTGCTTTACAATCGGGATTCTGTTCAGAGTAATGGATGAAATTCTCATAGGGCACTTGGCTCCGGCCTCAAAGACCATGCATTCACTTTTTTTTTAACGTTATATACTAGACCATAACAGCTAGCATACCTACCTCTCACATATACGTCATCAGCGTAACTGATATTGTTGTTATTGATACCTCCAATATGACAGCTGACATGTGTGCTGCTAAGCTCGTCAATCAAAGCATTGACGTAGAGGTTAAAACTTAGGGGAGGTCAATCCCTTCTGCCTCACCCCGCACTCCAACCTGTACGGTTTGGGAAGCGCTCCTACCCATCTCACAAGGCTGACCTGGTTGCTGTATCAAAATTTTAAAATGCTATTTAATTCTGGTGACACTTTGGTATCCTCTAGTTTTGGCCACATTATCAATTGTATTTAATGCAGAATTCGTCACAATGATCTAGCCAACGTGCTGACCCGTGCGTTTCACTATTAAGGCAAAAGTATTTGTTGTAATACTCAAATGTAAGGAATTTGTGTATGTATATTATTTATGTGTAATATGTTACGGTAAAAGTAGATATTGCGGCAAATGTACACATTTCCGGTAAATGTGCAGATTTGCCTCCTCGTTTGGGTAATGTGCATTCAACTAACATTTACAATTTCAAAGAAGGGAAAGGTACATTGAATTCACAATGACCATGTCGTTTTGGTAAATGGGAGCATGGCATACAAAATACGAAATCGCAAGTGCGAGTAATGTGGTGCGCAAGCGCATGCGCAATACACATTTGCTGGGAAATGTACATATACATTATATTCAGTTCACATATACCTAACTTTTTGGCAAATATGCATATTTACCGGTAAAAATGTATATTTCCCAAGAGTGTACATAAACTGTAACATATATATATTTCAATTGATTTGTATGTACACCGCGTGTAATTAGTTTCCAAACTACTCTTATCTACCTAGTGATTGTCTGGAAGAGATCGCTCTTAGCGATAAGACCGCTAATTGTACTTTTTTTTGTATATAATGTTTCGGATTGCTTCTTTTGTTGATGTGCAATAAATAATACTCTCACTCTCTCTTGTCTCTATCCGCGCATATCCAATTTTGATTGGAACAAAAAGTCATTAATTTACTATAAAAAGGTTCGCCAGGGTGTCCATTAAAGTTACCTAGCACGTAAACAGATTCAATGTAGTCATTATTAATAATAGCACTCACCGCGCTAAGGCATTCTGTGAAATCCGTGATAATATCCGATTTATCCGTGGGCATATAGACAGTAAATACTAAACATGACATAGACTGCATACTTATTATTATCGCACAAATACACGGATTAACGCACTAAACATCCGACACATTCTTATAGACACTTTTATTCCACAATAATGCATCACCTCCGTGCGGTCGCCCGCGCATCATACCGGCCGTCGTGTCAACTGCGGACGTGCCCGTGCCTCTGAAAACTTTATCAATACTACTGAGTTGCGGTACATAATGTCATCTGGTAGTAGCCAGGTTTCTTGCAATGCTATTGTTACGCGCTGGTGGTTCGGGATAAATAAAATTCCACCGAAGTAAAACTTAAAAACTGTATTCAACACTTGGAACACTTAAAACACTCAACTAACACTTTAAAACTCTCAATTCGCTTCTTCCGCTTCGTTTCAGGTGATCCGTTCGCTGTTTCGCTTCGAATATTTACGATTACTGAATGACTGCGTGCCATCCCTGCAGCGCTTTTATAGCCGATACCACATCCCTAAAATTATCTAGAATATTCCACAAATCTCTAGTGTTTTGTTTTCGCTCTCTGTCAATAGATGGCATTGTACTTCTCGAGCGTTCTAGGTGCTACTCGATCCTTCGTTATTCGTTCGACTATTCGGCGATAGATACTCTTACCGACGTAACACTATGATATGCGACGTACGACATACTCGCAGATATCTTCGATGGAGCGCTTTACGCTTTTACAATTATAACCGACTACTTTAATTACTTAATTAGCATTAATGATGATCTCTGTGACAAGCTAAACTAAACTAAAATATATGTGCCTCTAAGATATACTCCACCTAAACTAAAATATACATATATTAAGCATTATATAGCATATATCAAGCATAAGCATTATGACATATATTAAACATTATATAGCATATAAGCATTATTTTTCCGGATGTATTATATTTAGTTCATTCATCAAATATAAGTCGTGCAACGTACTAAAGCTTGTCAATTTCAGCGGTACCAAATTTGTTAGAGCCCGATAAAAATCATATGAGCGAATATCGGCAGCAAGGTATTAATTACGCAATCCCCAAATTTGATTTTAAAAAAAAAGCAGGAAGGTAAAGAAGCCATGGGAAACCATCCGAATGAACACAAAACAAAACCTCTATTAAAAATGTGTTCTTTTTTTGTTTATTTATGCTTGCGCTACAAGCTGTAGGCAGCCTACAACGAAACAACAAAGAAAACAAAGCATGATTATACTACACAGAACAAAATAGGGCCCACCATGTTTTTTTCCCATCATTTATGTGCATTTTTTTTTTGTCAGGAGGAAATCTCCGGACTTCCGCCCTTCACTGGGGATGGAGGGCGGGGCATGTCGGAGTCGAACTGACTAAAACCTCCTGTCGCTCAACAACCAGCGTCCAAACCTCGCAATGAGACAGAGCTCATGAAAAGGCAAAAGGGGGAAAGTGAAGCGTTTAGTGCGGAGCACATCTCTCCCATCACCCTCCCCCTCGGGGCGCCGGACATCATTTATATGCATAGAAGGTTTTAACGATTAATCAACGTTAAATTAGGGTTTTACACATTATGTAAATGTAAAATAACATTTAAATTGTTTAATTTGTTCACCTTATACACGAATACCCAATTCAAGAGAAATGAGCACTGAATAGACTAATTAAAAAAAATTATTACCACTATTTTTTTTATTAATTTGCAGGGATTTTTCCTAGTATTGCGTGGGACCTCCTGTGCTTCGTATGTACTCTCTCAGTCTATATGGAACACTCTTGATCAGATGAGTGATGTTTTAGTCAGGTATTCGTTGCCAACAGAGTTTCAGGGCGTTTATGAGGTCCTGTTGGCCTGTAGGTTTCTTTGAGACTTCGTTTCAATTGATCCCATAGATGCTCAATCGGGTTGAGATCGAGACTCATCGCAGGCCAAGGTAAAACTGAAATATAGGCATCAGGAGTGCCTTCTGAGTGACACGAGCTGTATGCGCACAAGCGTTTTCTTGCATAAACTCAAAATCATCACCCACCCTTTGTGAATATGGGAAGACGTGTGGTCGAATTACGTGTTCGACGTAACTGGCTACTGTGACAGTCTCTTCGTTCAAGATCACCAGCTCTGTTTTGGCTAACAAGCTTATGCCGCCTCATATCATTACATTTGTGCCTCCAAAACGATTAGTTCCTCCTCTTCTCCATACACGTCTGTCATCGCTAAAAAACTTGATCTTGCACTCGTCTGTAATGAGTACTGTCCTCCAATTATCCATGGTCCAGTCCAAATGCTCACGTGCGAACCTCAAACGTACAGACCGGTGATCCCTTGTCAATTTTAAGCACGCATCCTGGACCGTTGCTCGTCTTCGTGAAGTCGATTCCGAATGGTGTGATCACTAACGCGAGTTCCACTGGATTGCCTCAGCCGAGATTGTAAGGCCCGGGCGGTTATTGTGCGGTTGTGGCTCGAACTCTTCCTGATTCAGGTCTTATAGCCACACTGTTTGTCTCCTGGAATCGTTCCCATACATTTCGAATAGAGCGCCGTGAGACACCATGGCGAATAGCAACGGATCTTTGCGTTTCTCCCTCTTAAAGTAAAACAACCGCCCTTGTCACAGTTTTAGCGGTAGGCAGCGGCTTGGCTCTGCCCCTGGCATTGCTGAAGTCCATGAGCGACGGTAACCACTCACCATCAGGTGGGCCGTATGCTCGTCTGCCTACAAGGGCAATAAAAAAAATAAAAAAAGTTTCCACACCCATATAACGACGAGAACGTGACATTGTAATCGGGAATAATGCCGAAAACAAGACAACACAGTTAGACAAAATGCGTTCAAAGTATTGCGCTTATAACAAAACTGAGTAGATACACAAACATTTAAGAATTGAACGCGGAATAGTTAATTTTAAGCACTTCAATTATTTTGTGTATGTACCCATTTGAAATAACAAGAAAAATTAACTTTCAAACATCATTATGGACTCATAAACTTGTTTGCTAGAAGCGCCGGTGTTTCATTTGGGCAATGATATTATAAGTCATAATAATATGGTATACGAGTCATTTAGAAGCAAACAGTGATGGGCCCTATTTTGTTTTGAGTGGTTTACCATTACCAGCAAGAAGTTCAACATTTGGACTTATTTAATAAGTAATGTAATATAATAATAAGTAAAAAAGTATAATAAGTAGTTTAGTGACTTAATAAGTAATTTAAAAAGAATATTGACAATATGTATAAGAGGTTCTTGACAAGTAAGGATTAAATTACTTACATATTATTATTGCAATTAATGATTATTTAATTTTTTTAATTCCTCTCACTCAAGGTTTAAAATTTACATATGTATATCTTTACAAAATTAAATAATCTTATTTGTATATGCATACATGAAATACAAAAAATATTAACATTGCCAGTATTTGTCAGAGAAAAAAAAAATTGACAATGCCATTTAATTATAATTTTTTTGCAATATTCTACATGTATGTACAAATATTTGGACATATTTTATTCGATTTAGTTAAAATTTTGTTTATTTTACACAATGTAGGGGACGTTTTGCATGTTACAACAAAAGTAAGAAATGGTATCAAAGTACAAAGCAACAATGGTACAAAAGTAAGAAATGGTTCTCACTGGTGGTAGGACGTCTTGTGAGTCCGCACGGGTAGGTACCACCACCCCGCCTATTTCTGCCGTGAAGCAGTAATGCGTTTCGGTTTGATGGGTGGGGTAGCCGTTGTAACTATACTGAGACCTTAGAACTTATATCTCAAGGTGGGTGGCGCATTTACATTGTAGATGTCTATGGGCTCCAGTAACCACCTAACACCAGGTGGGCTGTGAGCTCGTCCACCCAACTAAGCAATAAAAAAAAAAGTAGATTGCTAATTATTGTAAACGAATGGATGACTTTCAAATAAATAGATGAAAGTTGAAATGAAAATAATGAAATGATTGAAATCGTTCTGGCCTCAAGGTTAAGACGCCCCTCAGTGCTTTCGCATCGAATGATGTGACAAATTCATGAATAACTTGCACGGTGAAGGAATAACAATAATAATAATAATGAGTAGTCTTTTGTTTCTTCTATGATTATTATAACTAGTTTTCTTTAGTAATAACAAGGGCTTATTGTACCCTTTTTATTTTATGACAATTTGAATACCTTACATTTTTTTCACTCACGTGACTAACGTGGTATTCGTCGACATTTGAATATTGAGATAACTACAGTCATAATTTTCGATCATTTTTCAAGGAAATATTTTATCACTACCACTAATGGTAAAATGTTTCCTATATTATTTATAGTTATTTTTCATCTTATAATTCCGCTTTTTTTTTTCCTACCTATGCTGATAGCCTTGAGAGGCTATTTCAGCGGAACCTTAACTAGTAGGTGAGCTCACGGGGCTCAAACCTGACGACGTTGCTAACACGAACCCTAGCAAGAGTCGTGCTTCGCAGATTCTACCACCGGATCGGAAACGCGACCCACTGAGAAGATCCGGGAAGAAACTCAGTGGGCTGTGTCTGAGGGTTAATTTACTCGTCAAGCCCTTCGTCGCAAGCCACGGGTTCGACGAGAACGGTGACCGGTGCTTGAGGTACCTAAAAGCACCGTCAGTGGATCGGGAGGATCCAAAATGACGTGCTTGGGGCGACGTCAAATGCTTTCCATTCTTTCCGCAGGATCGGGAATGTAGTTACCGGCGGCCACGATGAGAGGGTTCTCGTGTCGTGCCGCTTTATCGAAGTGGCGCACCGAGTCAGAGGAATTACATCGTGACATAAAATTGAGACCCGCAAAAATTTTAATCTTCGTAATTATTTGTGGTAGGACTTCTTGTAATCCTTGACGGGTAGGTAGTTATTAAGAAAACACATTTTTATTCATTTATTACAAAAAAAATATGTCTATGTTTTATAGGGAAATTCCACTGTACTGATCGATTTTGCTAATAATTCTAATACAATCTCTTTCGTTCGTATTTTTATTTTCACGGAAGCTCTGTTGCCTCTGTAACAAAATATAAATATAAGGTAAATTACATATTTTTTTCAATACCTAAATCGTTGGTAGCCTAAGGGGCTATTCCAACTTCACGCGGACAGGTAGGTGAGCTCACGGACTCAACCTGGTAGAATTGCTAA